GTTATTCCCTTGAAGTCAGGTTTGAATGATGGACTTCGTAGAAAAATAAAAGGCATGGCCACAAGCATCCTGTCGCACTGGCCTATACTACAAATGAGTTTCATCTCATTCCATGGATCTACCCGTCGGAGTCTTGGGTCGTACATATTTGTGATTGAAGGTGCTTCCGAAGAACCCCTCAACGTAATAGAAGAGCATGGGCGTGACCCGTTTTTGAGGAACTAGTTGGAGTGCATTGCAGCAGAATCAAATTACTTATCGATGTTCTTGCTTGGAACAATACTACATCCACTGTTCCAGGTGTCCAATAAGGAGCATGCAGACTCGTGCTGCAAGCTCAACGATGGCAGCTTCGTCGAATATCAATCACAGACACACTTCTGCTGCAATGGTGCCATCCCAAAAGGTGCCGGGCTTGCCTGCTGTTACTTGTCGATCGACGGCGGGATAAGGGCCGAGCCCTACAACACTGATATCCATTGCTGCCGACATCCCTATGACATACTTTATCCTAAGATTAATGGTACTTGCACAGAACAATCATAGATGACCCAACTTCCTTCCACCACTGCTCTCACACAATCCTATGAGCTGCAATAGGCTTCATGCTGAACACCCTGGGCAGGGTAAGTGGGGAATACACGTAGGATTAGCTTTCAGACGTGTGTCAGATATGCGATGGGGAATATTCAGCATATGACTCAGAGCGTTTCAGAGCGTTCAATGTTTTCATGACGAAATTCCACATGAGTTTTGTGTTGAGGCTTTGCCTGCTGTGCATTGGAGATCACACCCATCGCTTGTTCTTCCTCTGTTGGGAAAACCCTATTGTACAATTTTTGTCATCGTAATTGCTACAAGATCTACATGGTCCCGCTATTTATCTGTTCCGAATGATCTATAGAACGGCTAATGTTCTGCCTCGCTGAAGAGTCGGGTAGGGAAGATGTTCCTGAGTAGCTTGTCAGTTCTTTGACTATTTGATCTAACAGTGGGTGCGCAAGTTTTTGATTTGTTGCATCCCGCGTTTGCCAGATCCACGAGGGTATCATGTCATTCGTTTTCCTTCTCATTCATCCACTCTTTTTCCGAAGGAAACCCTAAAAAGTCAATTCATTCAAGCCTATCAAAAATAATTGGCACATTCTAACCGTAGGGCTTTCCATAAACCTCGGCATGGCTCTTAATGAATGTTGTATATATATGAACCCTTTTATAAGGTTTTTATATACACTCATTGGGCTGATGTTCCGACGTATCGCCTTCTCAAGAGCCTGAAACGGATCAATTCACAAATTGTTTTTGATCCAATCCAAGCTCCGAAGAAGGCGATACCGCCCGAGTCTCAGCCTAACAAATTTCTTACAAAAACCTGTATGCACATTGTTTTTTCATGACCTATGTACATCTTTTTTGAACATAACTTCGCTCTAGTAATAAAGCATTCTCAGTTTAACAGAACATTTTACAAATCTTGAAGGAAAATGGGATTGGACTTGGTCCTATCCCTTGTTTGCCACTACCCTGATGAACGTACCTCTTCTTTGGGAGTATGCATAT